ACTGTTATGGTTATCATTATTATTCTTTATTATTTTCGATTATCATTAATATTATTATCATCATTACCATTATCATAAATATCATCATCACTGCTGCTGTTATTATTATCATTATTATCAATATTATTAGTATCATTATCATTGTTACTGTAATCATTATTGTGATTATTATTATTGCTACTATTAATATTATCATTATGATTATTATCATTATCATTGTTGGTATCATTATTATCATTATTATTATTACTATCATTACCATTATGATCATTGTCATTATTACTATTGTTATCATAACCGTCATCATCATCTTCATCATCATCATGATCATCCACATCATCATCATTATCGTCATCTTCGTCATCACCATTATCATCATTACTATCATTATTATCCTCATTATCATTACCGTCCATATCACTATTTTCCACCATCATTATCATCGTAATCAGCTCATTTTTATTTCTATTCTCTTATCTCTCCCTCTTCCTATTTCCGTTTCATTTTTCTTCCTTCTCTTTCCTTCATTTCTCTTTTTTCGCTATCTTCTTCTCTCTCCTCTTCCTGCTTTCTAATACTTCACTCACTTTCCTTCTATGTTCTTCTCTCCTCGTTTTTCTTTTCCTTTCTTCTTCTCTTTTTCGTGTTTCTTCTCCAATATTATTCCCCTTCTCTTCTTATCATTCCCCTTCTTCTCCTCTTTATCCCCTTCTCTGCCTTTCCCTCATTTTCTTTCTTCTATTCATCCTTTTCTCCTTTCTGTTCCTTCTCCTCTCCTCCTCTTCCCTTCATCTTCCTCTCCCTTCCTTTTTTATCCCCGCTTTCTCCTCCTCTGCTGTCACTCCTCCTCCTTTTCCCACTTTTATTCCCCACCTGTCTTCACTTTTCATTTTTTTTCCTCTCTCTTTACCCTTCTCCTCTTCCTTAACATCTCCCTCTCCTCCCTCTTTCATTCTCGATTTCCTCTCACTTTTCGTTTCCCTCTTTTTCTTATTCCTCTTCGCCTTGACCCTCTTTCCACTCTCGTTCCCTC